CAGCACAGCGATCTACATCCAATTACTCACGTAGATGAAGGCATCATAATTGTAAACGATCGTCCGGCACGTGTGAGTGTAGATAATGGCACTTACATCCACATACGGGGCACGCATCTCATTACCTTTACTGAGAGTGCCGTGGTTAATGAAACCCGATATGTCAATAATGACAGGGCCCAGAAGAGGGTCCCAGGAGTAGCCAGCTCGCCCTCCCTGAATATCACTATGGAGCACAACATCCTCAGTCTTCCATACCTTCACCGCTTGAGTGAACGTAATCTGGAACACATAAAGAGAGTCGGGGAGAATATCAACGACTATCATTCACATCAGATAGTACTGGTGGCAGGAGCAATATGCTGCGCGTTGATCTGCGTCGGTTTCACCTATCGGCGAGTCATCCAGGACAGGAGAGCTACGGCCCAAATAGCAGATATGATCGCCCAAATAGGGTCGGCCGAGGGCGGCCTTAATCCCGAGGGGGGAGTAGTTAACTAAGTAAGTTAACCGGGCGACGGCAATGACCGAGCGTCCGAAAGCTCGCTCCGGCCAAATTGCTGACACAGCGTCTGGCCGGAAGCCCGTGCATAGCCGGCAAGCACTACCCATTGGAGTGGCCGCTATGAGTCCCTTTTTATGTTAGCTTTAAGTTCAGTTCTCATTTTGATTTGAAAGAATAAAGAGCTAACGCTCACGAATTGAAACTCCGGCCATCGCCGTATTTGATTTATTGAATTTACACCCAATCTGAGTCTCTAGGCCAGTGGGCTAAAAGAGGGCAGTCACCCTCTCAACCTAATCGTCATATTTATACTGTTGATGACACAGGCCAACCGGCCACCTACAACACACGCTGCGATTGGTATTCCAGCTACAACTACGGTCAACCGACCTCCCACTATAGACGTTCAGCCAGCCAGCTTCACCCCCTCTACAGACGGACAGCCAGCCGGCAGACGGATTAATTAATTATCTAATTTATACATACATACATATACATCGGGCTTCTTTTGGATTCTGAAATACAGTCGAGTCCCGATAATTCGAAATGGCAAGGGGATCACTTTTTTTACGAATTAGACGGGAATTCGATTTATCGAGATTTCTATTCAACGGGGCTCAAAAATGAAAAATTCGAATAAACAGGGTTTTTACATTTCTCATCATGTTTACATATGTATTTAGCTTTATTAAAATTAAACAAACATAATTTAACATTCATTTGTACGTTTTCATATTAAAGAAAAATTAAACAATAACATAATATTATAACAATTGCAATGGGAACATTACTTTGACGGCATTGTGTAAGCCACAAAAGTAGAGACTTTTCTATATTCAGCATGTTTCTGTCGTTTCAGTTTACTACTAGGGGATGCTTGCATTATAAACTCTTTTTTTCTGTAGAATTGATGTTATTGTTGATGGAGCGACATCGAATTGTTTTGCCACCTCAATTTTTTTGTTCCATTGTCAATCGCTAAAATAATGTTTTGTTTTTGCGCGTTTGATAACGTCTTATGCGTACGTTTTTGTGACATTTTCACAGAACGCTGTTACTCTCCGAAAAAAATCAGCAAACTAAACGAAAACAGCGAGAGAAACACAAAATTCATAATGCATAGGCGACATAAAGGCGGAATAGCTGTCTGCAAAATCTAACGGTGCTTTAACTGAAAAAATTTCGCATCGCATTACGATTTATAAAAGGTTACGAAACAAAATTACGATTTATAAGAGGTTCAATATTCCCTGCTTTGCGCAAAATACTACGAATTAACGAGGGGACCAAAATGTATGGAATTTTTACGAATTAACGAGTTTTTTTCAAGGGGACAGAATTTTTTACGAATTATCGCGATTTTCGATTTAGCGGGGTACGAATTATCGGGATTCGACTGTACAACATTTTCAGTGCACTTTCAAATACCTCAAACCAACGTGTTGCAGCTTGCTCAAGGCCATAGACATCTTTAAAAAAATGTGCGTGAGTACAAAGAACACATGTCAGAAATGAAACTTCTTTGGCGAACTAATTAATCAGTCTTGTCTATTTTTATACAAATCTAAAACTTTATATTTCCGAGACTTAAAGAAAGGGAAAAAGGAAAATATGTTAGGAATTTAATTGTAATTAAAATATTAAAAGTCATTTAAATTTTATTTCTGAACTTAAAATTTAGAAAAGCGAATCTATCAAACATTTTTATTTCATGGAAAATGATTTATTTAATTATGAAATGACGAGTGGCAAAATGAAATGCAACATGTTATTTCTAAATATTAAAACTACCTAACCTTCAAACCAATTAGCCTAAATAAATAAAGTAAATAAACAAAAAGATAACAGATATATTACTTACTTCGAGTAACTGCTTAATACAGGACGACTTTAAAATTTATCACAAAATTTTATTCATAAAGTTTATATACTTACTAGTTCATTATTAAAACGTCATTTGCAGTAAACGCAGATTTTTCATCTACTTACAATATTATTAGCACTTATGCAGTGTATATAAACTTTATGAATAAAAAATAATTTTTCTTTTATTTTTTATAATTTTTTGAAAATGTTTAGAAATACGCATTTAAGCCATATTTTTCTCTTTTCCATACAAATTTTTTCCGACATTGTCACCTTCGAAAAATCATAAAAAATAAAAGAAAAATTATTTTTGAAAAATTCTCTTTGCAGTTACTATCATTTTTGTTTAAAGAAACTTTTTGCATCCAAAAATTTTAGTTTTCAAGACGAGGGAAAAAGTTTAAAAAGTAAATTTTTTTGTAAACTGCCCTTTTTAATAAATATCAAATGAGTTAAAAAAAAGTATGGTATCATTCAAACGGCATTTAAATTACCTTTCCATTGATACCAAAAGTTAAAAGAAGCAAGTTCAAGTTTCGAGTATATTTCACTTTTATTTTGTCAAAATATATATGCCGACCAGTGTAGGGGAGAGTGGTCCCATACCGACCGGTCGTACCATACCGACCCCCCCATGTTTCTCAGAGATGGCGATGCTAGCCGAATTGTCGGTAACCTCAGTGAAAAGCTGTTATAACACAGACATTTTGGAGATAGATAGTCAATTTGACTTCTTTTGTTTCACTGAAATTTTTCCGTTTGTTTTGTTTCAACGCCTGTGACATTCTTTTTTTTCTTTACTAAACTTGAGCTTAAATATTTTTAAAGTTTTTTTTCTCCGCATAAAAATCGGAGGGTAAGGTTTTCTGATAGTTGAGAGTCCTAGCTGTCATTCACGCTATTAGAATTACATCGCTCTTTGCGTCATTAGATAATGGCGAGCAGTTAATTAGAAAAGGTTGTGGTGGTCCGAAACCGACCGCGAAGTGATGGTCCGAAACCGACCCCCATTTATTGGCAGCTTAATATGTCATAGCGTATTTTTGAGGGAAAATATGAAAAAGTAAACAAGATTCAGTAAAGAAAAGTAACAGAAACAGCAAAAACATCAGAAGAAAGCGAAGAGACAGTCATCAACGAGCGGCTTTCGAAAAACAACGCGAAAACAACGCGAAAACTTACTATGAGAAAGAGGACAACTCAGACTTCATCAATTGACTACAGTGCCCTTTATTTCATACATTAATTTTTATTTTCTGGAAAAAACCTTCAATATATTTCTTTATAAACGTCAAAATCATTAAATTTTATTTTATGTTATTAAATTTTTCTGTTAAGAAATAGGGGGTCGGTTTCGGAACACTACTTTTGAGTACGACCAAAAAGTGGAGTTTTATATTTGCCTGAATATCTAACGCTTCAAAGCACCTACGCACTTACTAATCAATTAGATGTATAGTAAACTGATCCCTCTACATAGTAAATTTTTGAACTGAACTGAAAAATTGTTTTTTCTCCCCTTTATCGCCTTTGCCATTTAGGGGTCGGTGTCGCACCACCCTCCCCTACACAAACCAATATAGCATGTATTATTTCTCAATATCCCTTATTCTCTCTCTTCTTCAATCTTTCTCACTATAGCTTGAGCATGCGTGATACCATGGGCGCGAGTGAGAGTATGTTTTCTTATAAGTTCGAAAGAAACAAAAGGAGATGATGTCGTTTTACCCTTATGCTGTGCATGGGGTTTAAAAAGGACTGTTATATGACAATGAGTATTAATTGTTCCGTAATTTTGTTTTTACCCAAAGCTGCCCTTCAAGACTCGCTCCCATATTGGTTCCCTTTCAAAATATTTTGGTGCAATATTACATGATACGCCTTGTATGTGCTTGCTGCAATAATTGGAACAATTACTTTTCATAAGCACATAAGCAATACAGCATACAACCTCTCACTTCGAAAACCCGAGCGCACTGAGCCATAGGGGGAAAGAACTCTATCAATTTTGCAGCAGACGAGACTACCTTGTATAATTGTACCATGCGTGTTACGACAATTGCTCTGTCTCACTTTTTCTCTCGATCTTTCTCTCTTGATTGCTCCCTATACTCACTCTCGCTAATTGCTTCATGCTACGTTTGCCCTGTCTTACTCTCCCTCAATCAGTCTCGATCGCTTTCTCTTTCTTTCGTTGCATACTTGCGAGACGTTACCGTTACATTTGTAAAAATTTTACCCTCATGCGCCTAAAAAGTTTCACTTGAAAAAGTAAAATATGAAAATGACTTCGAGGTTTAAAAAAAAACGTAATTTTCTTATTTGACTTTGTTTTACTCATTCTTGCCGTCGACCACACTTTTGCATCATTTTTAGTTTCACGTTCAAGTGACGGTTAGATAGGTCAATCTGGGAGGTGGAATTCACTAAAACATTTCGGCATGGCAAAACCTTATGAGCCTTAATCCGATAATAAATGGTAAATGGTGCTTTGTGGGAATCGGGTATTAAACATTGCTTTGAAAGCGAGATCTTTTGGATCTGTGGAAAGTTCTGTGTGGGAAACAAGTATAAGGCATTTTATCTTGCATGTTTTATTCTCAGTGTTTCAAAGTTTGGAATAACAGGTCAAAATGGAATCTTTTGCTGTGGGTAGCGACGAGAGCTATACTGTTTCCGTTTAAATTATCCCTCTTTTTTCCTGCGCTTCGTTGGAAAAGGTGTGTTCGCTCTTCTTTAATCTTGAGTCATCGGTACCTATTAATCTATCTCCAAGACTATATTGCTAGGAGTAACAAGGCTCATTAATTTTTTGATATGCATTAAAATATATTTTTTATTCCCTGATTTTAGGTGTCAAAATGGGACGACGACCAGCAAGATGGTATGTGTGTTAGGGTCTTCACGTTTGATATGTACATCATCATTATTTTGATCATTTTCAGCTACCGCTATTGTAAAAATAAGCCTTATCCGAAATCTCGGTTCTGTCGCGGTGTTCCTGACCCAAAAATTCGTATATTTGATTTGGGAAGGAAGAAAGCAACTGTTGAAGATTTTCCCCTTTGCGTGCACTTGGTTTCTGATGAATACGAACAGCTAAGTAGTGAAGCGTTGGAAGCGGGACGTATTTGCTGCAACAAGTATTTGGTTAAATACTGTGGAAAAGACCAGTTCCACATTAGAATGCGCCTGCACCCATTCCACGTCATTCGAATTAACAAAATGTTGTCATGCGCTGGAGCTGATAGGTAAGTAATAGCTCAAATTGAAGTTTTGTTAACGCATGTACAAAGATTACTGCTTTTATACTGTTCAATTAGAATTACAAATTTTGTAATAAGAAAATGTATTTAATATTATTTCATTTAGGCTCCAAACTGGAATGAGAGGAGCCTTTGGCAAGCCTCAGGGCACGGTGGCTCGAGTTCGCATTGGGCAACCCATTATGTCGGTCCGTTCAAGCGACCGTTACAAGGCTCAAGTTATTGAAGCTTTGCGTCGTGCGAAGTTTAAGTTTCCTGGACGTCAGAAGGTCAGTAAATATGAATTTTTTGTTCTGGAAATTATATGGACGAAACCTAAACAATGTTTTGATAGAAAAGCAACTCATTTATTTTGTAATTTTAGTATATTTAAATTGATTTCTTGGTAAATTTGCGCTTTAGGGGCTTTTGCTAAAAATGGGCTAGGATTTTTTTTTTTAGGACCTACCTTTGAACCTAAACATCAATAAAAAAAAAAAGTGGCGGAAATCTTGATTTTTTTTTATTTATAAAAATAGCAAATAGCCGGTTTAACTTAAAAAGTTTTTTACCTATTTTTTTTATCGAAAAATAAACACTAAACACTAAAAAATATTAAAATAAAGCTTAGCTGTGATTCTGGGAACCCTTGCCATTTTTGATGGCACCAAGTGTTGGCAAGTGTGTAAAGTAAGCCAATTGGTAGTTTTAGACACTTTGTTGCCCTCATAATGAGCCAAACCGGCGTAGGACATGGTGGAATTGAAGGCCAAAAAGCCAAATAAAAAAGTGAGGAAAGCAATGATGAAATGATGTAACTTCTTTATAAAATAACAATAGAACAGAGATTATAATTTTAAAAAAAAATTTAGCTTTCGATGATTTTTGCCTTTGCTACGAGCGATCAACCACAAAAATTGTTAGGTGTTCTATCCAAATGAAACGAACTGTATATTCTTTATGGGGTTTGAGGTAAATTTTAAATGTAATCTTAAATTTAATAGTAACTTGAAAACGCCATTTGAAAGAAATCAAGTCGATCTATTCAAAAACAACGGCGTGAGAATTTTTCATTTCAGTCTCTCGTATGGGAGCTATCAGATATAGTCGGCCGATCCGACTTATATACTGCGTGCAATAATTGGGAAAAAACAACTTGGGAAAATTTGAGCAAGATAGCTTTAAAACTGAGAGACTAGAGAAACAGACAGACGGACATACGTATAGTCGTATTTCGATTCTGATCGTGATGCAGATCAAGAATATGTATATACTTTATGGGGTCTGAGGTGTCTCCTTCACTGTGTTGCAAACTTATGACTGAAATTATAATACCCTTTGCTCTGCAAGGGTATACAAACTGCCTTTGTATCGGCAATTAAGAACAGTAGATGATGCGATAATCGATTTTCGATTTTAATAATTTTTACAAAAATGTTGATGCCTTGTTATTGTTATTTATTTTTATTTTTTTGTTTTAGATCTATGTTTCCAAGAAGTGGGGATTTACTAAATACGAACGTGAGCGCTACGAGGAACTTCGCGATGACAACCGCCTGGAGCCGGATGGTTGCAATGTAAAATACCGACCAGAGCACGGTCCAATAGCTGCTTGGGAAAAAACTCAGCGTGATGTTTATGCATAATAACTCTTAACTGAATTGTTGCGTAAACTATTGTAATACGTTCACAATATAAATAAAAACTCTTTGCTGAGCATATATTTCAACTTTATGTCCGTATCCAGAAGATATTTCCAAGAATAACATTTACCCGCGCGCCGCCAGAGAAAATATGAAAACTTATAAGATGGAAAAAGGGCCATGGTATTTGCGATTGTAGGCCAAGATCAGATTGTAGTTTACTAATGCTACTGGAGCGGAAGCCAACGCCAAAATTCATGGATACCGGAGTTATCATTAAGTTGCTTTTGAAGTAATTTAGCCAGAGAGCTAAATTCGTTGGCAATTATTTTAAACGAATGGTACCGTCAGTCCATACAGCAGGGGCCAAAATCAAGATTTTGTGGGCAAAATTTGTCGACTCAATATCCTTGCTAATATGTAAACCGGTTCTTAGTGTCGTGAATTATAAGCCTTTGATGCCACTTTCAAAAAAACCGCTAAATCTTTTAGAAGTAACGATCTCGCGATTTTCTTAGTTCGCTCACCATGGACTAGTCTGGCTCATGAGATAGATGTCGGAGTAGCAAAACTATTAAGGCAGCGCCATTATGCTGTTTCGTCAGCCACAGAACAGCTTACGTGTAAGGAACTTGTTTCATGATTGTGTTGGGGGTTTTCGATGAGTCTGCCAGTGCGTGGTCTTGTCCAATGGTCTAAGCTAGAAAACCTGGAAAAGTTATGCTGTGCATTGATAGTAGTAATGTTAAAGCCGTAACCCGATACAGATTTACTGACGGAATTCTCATTATATTGTTCAAAGCTGAGTTTATTACAAGCTTAGACTAAAAGAACGCATATTGAAAAATTCCCTTGCAGCGGTCTCGAGACGAACAAAGTACTGACTATTCTCAAGTCTAGTGCTGTTTTCCTTTAGATGTTATTTGCATCGCAAGTCTTTAGGCAACAAAACTAGATTTGCTGAACTAAAATTTTCAATTTCCAAAAATCGGTTTACTATGGCAGTGTGTCACCACCAGAATGATCAGATAGATCCTTAACTGGGCCGAAAGCACGGCTTCTTTATAAAGTAGATTGCAAAAGAAGCTTGGCTGAATAGCTGAGATAACAAAGATAGGATAACATAAGAGATCTGTAAGTGCAGCGGTACACCTATGCGCACCAGACTAGGTGCTGGCGGTCTGCTCCAAACAGTTATTGATTTCAGAAAATTTAATGATTAGCCGAAAAATACAATATTTGTAAAGTTCCGCTTTAGGGGGTTTTGCTTAAAATGGGTAAGGAATTTTTTTTAAAGGACTACCTACCTGAACATTAATTAAAAAAAGCGGTGGAAAGCGTTTATTTTATTTATTTATTTATGAAAATAAAGGAAAATAAACATGAAAATTCAAATTCATTTCTAGGCCGTTAAAAAGGGCTACCTTAGGGTCAAAACAAAAAAAAATGTAAAGCGACTTGGGTGCTTGGGTACTTGGTGACGACCAAGTGCTTTTTAACGTTAGAATTTCTCTTAGATTCAGATGAACCCAAAAACATGGCTAAAATAGCGTTCCCTACAGAGAATGAACATTATGAGTTCACAAGACTTCCCTTCAGACTGAAAAACCCACCCGCTACTTTTCAACGGGTTATGGATAATCTTCTGGGGGAGTTGATAGGCAAGGTTTGTTTAGTTACTTGGATGGCATAATAATTTTCAAACCTTAAAATACAGTTGACTACGTAAGGAAAAAAAATACATTTTTTAGGACACAGAGTTACCCAGGATGGTATTAGGCTTAACACCTTAACATCTTAATATTTCCTAACCCGAAGAAAAAAAATATCACTCCGTTTCAGCAAACAACTGAGTAACACTAACTACAACCAAAAACCAAAAAAAAATTACGCTTACAAAAAATTAGAATATAGCCAAATAAAACTAATCAATTATCATCCTCGGAAAATTTTACAAATTGAAGCAAGAAATAAGCCAACGAAACGTAATAGATATCTTGGTTAAGGACCAGCCACTAATTAAAACGAATATGGGACCAATAAGCACTAAGTTCATTCAAATATATAAACCAGTGGTTCCCAAACTCTTTTCTTTCATAGACCACTTTCAAGACTTTGCTAGATCTGGTGGACCCCCGTAGCTAAATTCAAAATCAATTCTCACAAATTTTAATTAAACAAACGTTAAAAACGAAGTGGTAAAAAGATGTAGGTATTTCATTGTGTTGTAGGTATTTATTCATATATTGAAATTATTACAATATCAATTATAATTTTTATAACATTCGTAACTTAAAAAAAATTGAACACTTATAACATAATGTATCTTCTTCAATGGTAATTATGAAAAATATTTAATTTTAATGAGATGGATGTGCTTGATGTTTTTTTTTTAGCAAATTATCAATATTTGGCTTGAGTTTTGTTAGTAATAACTGCAAATCTCCCCGTTCTGTGATATTTAATCTGCTCCTTTTTTTTGTTAATAAGTTTGTAACGGCACTAAAACTTCTTTCGACGAGATATGACGAGGGAAACGCTATTAGAAGCTTTTGCGCTATTGGCCACAGTCCTGGATATTTCTTAGGTATTTCTGCCTGCAGCCAAAATTTTTGATACCCTTTTTTATATGTAATTTTCAGCTCCTCATTAGTGCTAAGCTCGAGTAGCTCCTCTTGTAATACCACATTCTCCACTTCTGTTTCATCAAATGGATTTATGATCCATGGTGGTATTTCCATTGACAGAATGTCTTCAAATCTGGTTTTAAAATCATCATGCAGGGCAATCAAATGTTGAATGTATGTCTGAATATCTTCATCAAGGCATTCTACCTGCGATAAGTTTGAAAACTGCGAAAATTCGCGCCGACCAATATTTTCCTTCATAAATTTCAATTTGCCAATAAAAGCTGAAATTACACTCTTCGTTTTTATTAAATTAAGGCTGTCCCCTTGTAATTGTAAGTTGAGGTAGTTAAATTTTTGAAACAAATCTGTCAAATACGCGATGTATGCTTTAAAATTGATTAGGTTTTTTTTTTAAAACAGGATCTTTACTTTCCAAAAATTCTAAAACGGAGTTGTAAAGTAAATAAAATCTTGATAAACATGCACCTTTCGACAACCAGCGTACTTCGGTATGTAACAGCAATCGTTGAAAATCTTCAACATTTTCATCGCACAATTGTGCAAATAAGCGCGTATTTAATGCATTGCTTCTAATTTTGTTAACTGCATTAATCACGAATTGAAGCGATTGGTGCAACCTGTCACTCAAATTTTTCGCTACTAGATGTTGTCGGTGGATAACACAATGAATTGCAGTTACCTCTGGTATAATTCTTTTAAGATGGCTTATAAACCCACGATATCGCCCGACCATGGCAGGAGCTCCATCTGTTGCCACTGAAATAACATTAGTCCATGGAATCGATTTTTCTTAAAAAAAATCACTGACGACATCAAATATTGATTCACCCTTCGTGTCCGTCTTCAAAGTTCTTGCGAATAGAAGCTCTTCATGAATTTCTGCGCCCATAACAAATCGAACATATGCCAATAATAATGCTTCATTGTCAGGTAAAGTTGACTCGTCCAATTGAATTGAAAAATGAGTTGTTTGCAGATAATCACACAAGAAACTTTCAACATCAGAGCTCATTTCATCAATACGTATTTGTACAGTGTTGTTACTCAACGGAATTGTTTTGAGTATGTCAAATGAAGATTTGTGCAGAACAGTTTTTAAAACCTCTTCAACAGCAGGTAAAGTTAACTGTTCTCCAATGGTGTGCGGTTTTCCGGATTTTGCAATAAGTAATGAGATATGGTAAGATGCACGCAAGCCATCATTATTGCTTTCAGTTGTTGAAGCGAACATACTGTGCACGGTGAGCCTCTTTTCATATTTTTCTTTTAATGTTTGGAAATATTTCAAATCTTTACCTATTTTATCAGGATGACACCTTCTTAGGTGGTCTTCCAGCTTTGATGGTTTCATAGAGTCATTGCTTAAAACTTTGTTGAATAAAAAGGCATGTGGGCAACCGTTTGCCTGTCTGTGATGGAAGAAAACCTAATTTTAAATATTCAACACTGTACTGACGACACTTCTTCTTAGATTCGGACATGTTTCGTATCAATTACCAACCTGTAATGTAAATAAATAACATAAAAGACTGAACAATCAAATACCTACTGAACTTACATCTATATATATACTAGTAAACCCAGCGAACTCCGTTCCGCCACCAGATGGCGATAGTTTTAGCTAAAACTTCGTTTGGTGTTTAAAAGATAAAGAAAATTTTTTTTTTGTTTTATATATGAAAAGGAAAAATTTTATTTCGATACCATTAAAACTTTGGCCTTTTCCGAGTGTTTTGCAATATTACACGTTGGTTCCTCAATAATTTGAAGATTTAACGGTAATTTTAATGCTAAATGAGCCGTTTGGCATCCTTCTAACAATATGGCTGCTATTCCCAAAGAAGCAACTGCAACAGCTATGTTGGATCTCGCCCGAACAGTTGCTAAAGCTAATGACATGAGGAATGTCTTGTCAGTACCACCAGGGGCATCTAGGAAATATAAACCACCATTTTCTTCATCGATTGCCTTCATTAAAGTATTATAAACTTTCTTCTGTTGGGAATTCAACAGGGGTACATTCGCTTGAACTAATAAATTTAATTCCTGGTGATCATATTCACGTTCCCGTTCTAATTCTCGATTAAATGCCTCATTCATTTCACGATTTGGCGCTGGCATTCTAACCTGATTAATATATTACCGCACATGAGGTAACACATATATTATCTTCGATCAAGAGTAAAACCCGATAATGTATCTCCTCATTCATCAAATTGTTCACAATCAGGATGGCGACTTCGTCTATTGTTGGAGCATTAAATGTCCTTTCGTGTGTTTTAGATGGTCGTTTATCTGCTTTTATGACAACTTTATAGTCATCATTTGGCATGCGCTCTAAAGCACTCTTAAACAACCTGACCATCGCATGATGTTCATGAACCAGACACTGCATGTCTTGAAGAATTGCTCGCTTCATCCCTTCAT